GAGGGCTCTCTGGAGCTGACCTTCTTCACTGCAGTCCTGCACTGTCATCCTTGTTATCACCTGTCTCTTGTCACCTGCCCCGGCTTGCTCAGTGATGGCTCTTGACAGTGGTGATGAGGGCTTGACTCCCAGCAGGGTGAGGGAGGAGAGGCCAGGGGCTGGGCGGACCAGCAGGAGGAGGAGGCTGGTGGGAAAGGCCAGACCAAGAGTCACAAAGCAGCAGTGGGGAACCAGAGACTAAGCTCACAGAGAGGGAAGGCCAGCGGGGAGCTCTGAGCAGCTCAGCGTACCCTCCTTGAAGGCCTTGAAATTCCCTCTCATCTTGGGCCCCTTGACTGCCAGGAGGTGCCTGGTCGTGTGCCATTTTCTTTTCTAGTTAGTAAACAGTGTTGGAATCAGACCGGGTTTAAAAGCATTGCGTCCTCTCTGGGTATCTCTTGTTCCGGGTTATGTAACAGTGTCACAAGGCGGAGGCATTCAGGCTTTCAAAGCAGGGGGCTGTGGACCAAGGTTTCAAGTCAAAGGGAGGGCGGGCTTGTCCTTTCAGGAGCTGAACAAGGCCAGGCTGGGTTGGCCCCCCTGGAAATGCCTCAGAGCTCTTCAGTATCACCCCTGCCAGACCACAATGCCCCAGGAAACGGCCGGGAACCCCGTTTTAGACTTTTTTAACTCTGTGTAGTGCCTTTCACTTGTGGTCTTACAGAACAGGGCTGAATATCATGGACCACCAAGAGAACAGACAGGGCTGTCCTGGAGGGCGTGTAACCAAGGTGCCCCTTAGAGCCAGAGATGGGGAAAGCTAGTCTCGCAGAAACTCTGGGCGTGTTGTCAGGAGGGGAAAGACATGCTGCAGAAGGCAGAGGGTCAGAGAAAGAGAAGACCTTTGCCAAGGTGGATGACACAGCCACTGTAGCAATGGGCCAGAGCACCTTAGAGATTAGGAGGATCGTGCCAGAGAGGGCCCAGTTACTGCCTGCTGTTCGTAGGGTTATGAGCTGTAGCGGATTCAACAACACCTAACAACAGCTCTATGAGTGGAGACAGTGGAACTGAGCCAGGCTGAAACACAACACCTTGATTTCAAGCATCTCGAGTGGGATGCAGTGCTGTAGATGCACAGAGAGGAGCAGAGTATATGACTTCTCCCTCCTTGTTCTTGGGAAGATCATTCAACCACAATCTGACCAGCGTGCCATCAGCAGTCGGCCAACTCACAGTGACCCTCCAGAAGGCTCTGAGATGAAATCTTACTGGGAACAGATGTCCCCCGTCTTCCTTCCTCTGAGAGAAGCTGGTGGGTTGAACTTGCTGGTCTTTGGGCTGGGAACCTAACCCATAATGCACCATGCCAGCGTCGAGGCTGGGCCTTCCAGCCACACGCGTGGTCACCCCTGCCATCACAGGGACTCTCCGTCTGGTCCCTGAGAGGAGATAGCTCTTCACAGGAGGAGACTGGCCCATCTCTGTCCCGCACTGTGGCTGGTGGATTGGAACAGCTGGCTTTTCAGGTTTGCGGCCTGACATGCAACACACTGTGCCACCAGCGTGCCTGATGTACGTGGTAACAAATAATGCCAAATGCAATGTAGGGCAAGTCCAGGGGGTCAGTGGAAGAGTGTAGCAGGGCAGCTTCTTTTTTAAAATTTTTTTAAATTAATTTTAATGAATGTTTACAAAGACTTGGAGTTTCCATTCATTCATTATTACACTCTTCTCCCTGCCCACCCCCTCTCCCCCCATTCACGCTTCTCCTTGAATAGAAAAAGAAAAACTCTTTCATTGTTATGCAGTCCCTCCCCCTAAGTCCGCTCCACTATGCAGCCTTCATTCTGGATTCCTGTCATGACAGTAATACCCAATCATATATCGCAGGGCGACTTCTTGAGACTGGGGCCTGTGTTCCGTGGAGAAGGGATGCACAGTGAGACTTAAAGAGAAAGAGTTCATAGTCAAAGAAGGGACTTACTCCTTGAGAACCTGAGGCAAGGCCAGGGTCGGGTAGGCCCCCTGCGTCGTGGGGGACATGCCTTGTCTCTAAGCCACCTCCCCCAACTTCTCCCCAGTGTGGGAGCCTCCAGGGTCGCCTCCTACTGCTGTTTGCCAGACTCTGAAGGCCCCTCTGGCTCGCTTGCCTGTCTCCACCCTTTGCTTCTGCCTGGTGCTTTAAACACAGATGCACCTTTCACGCAGGGCTTTCCACCTGTCCAGAGCTTAGCTCGGGCTGCCCTCCCTGCCCACCTCTGTGCTGGGCTTGCTTCCCACGGTTGCTTGTCTGCTGTGCTCCCACAGCCCACGCTGCCCTTCACCCAGATGCCACTTCTGCTGGGAGCATTGCTGTTAGGGGCTGTCCAGTCTACTGCAACCCTACGAACCACAGACGTGAACCCTGCCCTGTCCCACTCCATCCTGCAGATCTTTGATATGCTTCCTTGTTTTTTTAAATAAAACCTTTATTTTATTTTACTGGCTTGTTTACAAAGTTGATATACATTGTTTTTCACATTGGATCTTTCCCATTTCCTTTACCCACCCCTCCCGCCACCCGTCAAATGGTGAGACCCAATGATTAACCCACCCATCCATCCCCACCCCTCTGCTCCCTCTGCCTCGGATCCTCATACATGTTTTACTAGTTACCTATTTCTTCAGTAATGGTCTTACACAGTATTTGTCCTTGTGGGACTGAGCTAGTTCAGCATAATGCTCTTCAGTCCCTCCCGAGTTAGGTAATAATTTACAAAATCATTGCTCCTGTGTGCTGCATAGTATTCCATTGTGTGACTGTACCACAACTTCTCAATCCATTCATTTGTGGTTGGATATTTGGACTGTTTCCATGTTCTTGTGATGGTGAATAATGCTGCTATGAACGCTGGTGTACAAATCTGCGTTTGTGTGTCAATTCTCATTTTCTCAGAGTATATTCCAAGCAGTGTGATGGCTGGGCCATATGGAATGTCTGTGTTCAGCCTTTTGAGGAAGCGTTGGCTGCCTTCCATAGTGGTTGTATGGCCGCCTCCATTGTTATTGTCACTGTGTCAGCCTGCCTTGTTGAAGCTCTTCCTCACTTTCTCTGATGTCTTTTTTGTTTTGTTTTGGTGGTTTTTTTAAAAAAAAATTTTGATTGAGATTTTAATGAAAATTTATGAAGAACTTGGGTTTCCAATCTTTCATTGTTCCACATTTTCCTCTCTGCCCTCCCCCCCGCCCCCAATTGTTTTTTTCCTTGGGGAAAAAAGTTCTTTCGTTGTCTGATGTCTTTTCCAAGGACCAGCCCCTCCTGACCACATATGTCCAGTGTACATGAGCTGAAGTGTCCCGTCCTTGCTTCAAAGGAGCCTTCTGTCCTGTTTTGTCCAGGACAGATCTGTTTGTTCTTTTGGCGAGCCAGCAGCTAGCACTAAGAGACACGTAGTAGGGATCATCAGAGGAGCAATGACTTACGAAACTTGAAGCCAGACAAGGCTTTAAGGACTTTGCATTTTATCTTAGGGGCAGTGAAGGGGTGTTAAGGGTGAGAGTGACAGGTGAGGGAAGTTTGGGGTTTCTGTGGGACTGCCTTGTTGGGAGGGGGATTTGTTGAGAGGTGAGATTGGAGTTGGGGGTGTGTGTGTATATTCATTCCGAGCCCATTGCAATGCCTGGTAGATGTCTCAGGGAGTCTGACAAGTTGGGGTGGGATGTGCAGGGTGGAGATCCCCCCCGCTGGTCCAGGAGGAGCTGCTGGGCCCATGTCACCTCTCCACAGAGCTGGATGTAGCCCACAGAGAGGCCTGCCCAGTAAACGCATCTGACTCCCTGCGGACAAACTCTTGCTTCCTTCATTGACCAGCATTGGTCTTTCCTTTTTGACACTGGGCACGGCATCTCTGTTTTCTCCTGAATGATTGATTCTTAATTCACTGGCAGCTCCCCAATTACCAGCAGGGTGGTCCTGTCCGGGGAAGCTTTGTGGGATCTCGTTTTCCCTCCTGGGAGAGGCCCCATCACAATTATTAACCCAAAGGCTGCACTTCGCTGGCAGTTTCGAATTCCCCAGCAGCTCTGTGGGAAAAGGATGCGCGGTCCCTTCCCCTGTGATTTACAGCCTTGGAGACCCAACCAGAGACTCGGCTGTGAGTCGGTTTGGACTTGGTGGCATTGTTTTCCCTTCCACAAAGGAGGTCTGGATTTGATACCAGGCCCGGGTGCCTCACCTGCAGCCATCTGCCAGTGCAGATTGACATGCTATGGTGATAGACTTCTGGTGGCCTAGTGGGTAAGGAGTTGGGCTGCCAACCCAAAGGTGGGCAGTTGAAGTCCACCAGCCGCTTCATGGAACAAAGATGGGCATTTCCTCCCATCTGCACCATTTATAGCCTCTGACAACCCACTGGAGGTCAGCTGAGACTTGGCTCCAGCGTGACAGCACGTAGCAGCACCATGATGCGGGACTTCTAGTCAATGGCACTAGGAAGAAAGCCCTGGCTATGCCTTTCTGAAAATTAGCCAGTGAAAGCCCCCCTGGATGACAGCAGTCTGTCCTGCAGTGTACACAGCATGGCACGGGACCCAGCGGCACTGTGTCTGGTGGGATGGGGTCTCAGTGAGTGTGTGTGTGTGTGTGTGTGTCTTGATGGCAGCTAAAAAGAAAGGGCCGGTCACCTAATGGTAAGGAGTTGCACTGCCAACCCGAAGACAGGTGGTTTGAATCCACCATCTGCTTCTGGGGAGAAAGATAGGCAGTCTCCTTCTGTGTAGTTTGCAGCCTCTTAAAGTCCCCTAGGAGGTCAACCCTGCGTTCATCGATGGCACGTAACAGCAGTGCAGGGGAAGCTTTGCGCGGAACAGAGCCAACACCAGTTACTTTTATGGATAGGAGCCAGGCGAGGCCTTGGCTTCCTCCCTCCCCTCCCTCCTCACTTCACCTTACAGGCTCTCCTCCCTGGAGGTCAGAGCTCATAGCCTGTGCAGTGTTGCCTTCCCCACCTTGACTGGCTGTCCCTTCTCCTTCCTTCCAGGACATCAACCAGAAACTTCAGGAGGACAACCAGGAGCTGAGGGACCTCTGCTGTTTCCTGGACGATGACCGGCAGAAGGGCAAGCGGGTGTCCCGGGAGTGGCAGCGCCTGGGCCGCTACACGGCGGGGGTGATGCACAAGGAGGTGGCCTTGTACCTGCAGAAGCTCAAGGAGCTGGAGGTGAAGCAGGAGGAGGTGGTGAAGGAGAACCTGGAGCTCAAGGAGCTGTGCGTGCTGCTGGACGAGGAGAAGGGCGCCGGCTGCGCGGGCAGCCGCTGCTCCATCGACAGCCAGGCCAGCCTGTGTCAGCTCACGGCCTCCTCGGCGCCCTACGTGCGCGACGTGGGAGACGGCAGCAGCACGTCCAGCACCGGCAGCACCGACAGCCCGGACCACCACAAGCACCATGCCAGTGGGGGCAGCCCTGAGCACCCCAAGCATCGGAGCACCAGCCCCGAGCACCTGCAGAAGCCCCGGGCCACAGGGGCACCCGAGCACCCCAAAGCCCTCAAGGGACCCAGCCCGGAGCATCACAAAAGCCTGTGCAAGGGCAGCCCCGAGCAGCAGAGGCACGCGCACCCGGGGGGCAGCCCAGAGATGCTGGCCAAGCACGTGCTGAGCGGGAGCCCGGAACACTTCCAGAAGCACAGGCCGGGGGGCAGCCCCGAGCACACGCGGCACAGCGGAGGGAGCCCCGAGCACCTGCAGAAACAGGCCTTGGGGGGCAGCCTGGAGCACCTACCCCGAGCCAGGGGCACCAGCCCTGAGCATCTCAAACAGCATTTTGGGGGGAGCCCCGATCATAAACACGTGGCAGGAGGCAGTGGAGGCGGCAGCCGGGAGGGCACCCTCCGCAGGCAGGCCCCGGACGAGGCGTCACCCCATCACCGGGGCATCTACAGCGGCATGAACGGTGGGTCAGGGGCGCGGCTCGGGCCTGGGTGGGTCTAGAGAGTTCTGAATGGCGATGGGCTTGCCAGCCCTGTCAGAAGGTGGCAGGGGGTGGAGGTGGGCTGGGAGAGGAGACAGACAACATCGGCCCCCCAGTCCATGTGTTCTTTTTAGAGATGGTTGGGGCCACAGATGAGAGAAAGAAGAGAAACGGAAGTCCCCTAATTACCCTGAGTAATGAGAGATGAGATCTGTGGGTACCAAAGATGGAAGTGGTACCCCTGAGCGATTCTTCCGTTGCTAAACCTGGGTGTGATCTTGATTGTGTGTGGTTTCCTCTGAGAGTTCGTTGTGAAACGGTGACCCTGAGATTTTGGAATCCAATTCATTGTTTATGCAGGACATAGTATAACTATTATGCAACACGGTAACAACAGCAGAAAGGAGATAAGGCCTTTCTAAACAGGCTTGATGCCAATTTGACTGAATGTCTACATGTCTCTGAGTATGCCCTTATCTTGAGGCATTTCCTCTACCCCCCATTAAGTTGGGGATCACAGTGTGAATCTATGACTAAGGAGTTTATTTCTCTTTGAATTTAAGATGCCCAGATTCCCTTGTGTGCTCACTCAGAGCTCCCTAGCCCTCCCTCCCTCCCACCCCCCTCAGATACTTTGTAACCAGCAAGCTCTCCGATACTTTGTAACTAGCAAGCCCTTTCTTGCTCCCCTGTGTGCTGTGCTCTTTCACATGTTCACATGCAGCTGTGTGCTTCAAAGTGTAACTTCTGTGGTTGCAGAGGTGGCGGTGAACCCGAGCTCATGGCTCTGCCTTTTAGAAGAGGCTTCCATTTCTGCATCTTGATTCTGAAGCACTTTGAACTCAAGCAAAGGGGGGGTGTAAAAGATTTTTAAATAAATAAACCCCACCATCATTTTATGTCACTGGTTGGTTTAGCAGCACTGTGATGGGCTCATGCATAGGAAGCTGTGTGACTCTCCCGAAGGCCGCCCCTCTCCAGTGGGGCAGTTTGAACCCACCAGTGACCCCTGGGGATAAAGGTGGACAGTCCATCTGCTTCTGTGCTCAGTACAGCCTCTAAATCCCCACTGGAGGGTCAGCTCTGGGCTGGTTCCTATTTGACAAGAATGGTTTTTTCCTTTATGATGGAGTTGGAGCTATAGTGATTGGTTTTGTAAAGAATGTTTGCCTTTTTAATATCACATATCCCTCCCTCCCCAACGTCGTTTAAAAGCAGCAGTGTGACCATGCCCTCAGCTCTGAGCGCAGGTGGAGGAGGCTGCCAGTTTTCGCAGTGACTTGAAGGGGTCCATTTTCAGTGTTGGACTCAAGGATTTACCTGTTGGGTTCCATTTCATCCTGTTGTTTTTCTCGTTGTGCTGAGAATTGACTCCCAGTGCTTTGCTCCTAATGCAGCTGGTGTGTGTTTTCAGGCACAGATGGGCACCAGGGAGGGTGTTGGGACGTCCGGCAGAGAGGGGCAGAGAGACGCTTAGATTTCTCACCTGGTGCCTTTGTGGGTTAGATGTCACTCATTTTGTGAAAGAGCCTTAACAATGCCTGTCTGTCCCCGTTGCTGTGGGCAGCCTCTGCTGTTCCATTCTCGACAGGACAGGAAAGCCATTACCAGAGAGATTTTGGTTGTATGTTGTCATGCTGAGACGGGCCACAGGCCATGAAGCTTATCCTTAGGGAGTGATGGGTTAAAAGGAAGGTAAAGTTAATGACTTTTCCATTCCCTGATTACTTTTTAACGAGCTTCCTAAATAAATATAGCAGTGAGCTATTTTAGGCAAACCTTGTATCTCAAACCTGAAGGAAAACACTAATTGACGGTTCACTTAGAAAACAATCCTCCTACAAAAGGGTTATTTTGGGTGAAGAGCCTCTCTATTAAAGCAAAGGGTGCTGTGGGCCTTAGAGAGTCGTTCTTGCTGGTGGTTTGAATCCCCCAGTGGTCCCATGGGAGGCAGAAGGGCAGTCTCCTCCGGTGAGATTCTGTGGCTCCGAACCATTGACATTGACTTGGGACTGACTCAGCAGTGAGTGGGTTTTCAGAGACAATGGATTGATCATCACTTGAGGGAAGATTGCCCATTTTTCTCTACTGGAGCAGCTGGTGGATTTGAACCCTATGTCTTCGCATGTACAGTGCACCTTCTTAACTACTATGCCACCAGAGTGCCATTTGATTTATAGCTTCTGAAAACCCACTAGAAGGTCAGTTGTGAGTCGGTTCTGACTCGCTGACAGGGAGTCAAGTAGTGATTAGCCGATGTATCCTTTACGAGGGCAGTTTGAGGTGTGTATAAACAGTTCCTTGCATCAGTGAAGGGGGAGGCGGAACCGATTCATAGCTGACCGTCCAGTGGGTTTTCAGAGGCAGTAAAATCACACGGGAGGAGGTTGCCCATCCTTCTCTTACAGAGCAGCTGGTGGATTCAAACCACGTGCCTTTTGATTGGAAGTGTAACTCCTCACTGCTAAGGTACCAGAAAGAGCTGACCTTAATTACATTGTACTTTGAATTCTGATAAACGTGATGAGTCAAGCCAATGTTTCTTAAAATCTAGCAACTTTATTTAGCTGAAACTTTTGGTACAGCCCAGGTGCATTCTTTTAAGTAGGACTGTTGTTGTTAAGTGCCGTCGAGTCATAGACGATTCATAGTGACCCTATGAACAAAAGACCTGAACACTTGTATGACTTTGGTCATTTCCCCATGTTCACAGAGTTTCTGGAGGCAAGCTGTTTTGGAAGTGGATGCCTCTCCTGCTTATAAGCTTGTTTTAATTGGGAAGCTCCAGCAAACACTCTACACCATGGGTGACCGTTAGCGCATTTGACACATCAGTGTCACAGTGTTCAGCATCACAGAAACCACGAGTAACCTCTGTCCAGCAATGCAGAGACGAGTGCTCTACCACTTGCAAGAATGTTTGAAAAAAACAATTTAGAACCAGCTCCTGTAGATGACTTTCAAACTGGTTTCCAGCTCCATACTGCCGACCAAAAAGGGTTTTTAAAATAGGAGGGCTTCTCACATCACCTCACTCCCCTTAGTGAATAAACATTCCACCCTACTGCTCACCCATCCCAGCCAACAGCTTCTGCAGAACCGGCTCCAGTAGACTTAAGTAGGACTGGGTAGTTTAATTCTTGTGTGGACACTGAGTTTTCTCATTCTTAAGTGACAGACCTTCTGCAGAAGGTTGATACCCTCAGAGTATAGTTAGCATACGGTCGTGTTGCATTTTTATTCCCCTGCTTTTTATTAATTGGAAAATGAAGTGGCACGAGGCGGTGTTTATGGATCATCAGCCTATAAACTGGGGCGTTGGTAGTTTGTATTTACCCTGGCGTTACAAATTAATTTTTTGATCTGGATGGCAAGTCAGGCTTTTTTTCATCTTTTTTAAATCCCCACACAATTAATTGAAATCACGGGTTTATAAACAGATAGGATACAGTCGCGAAGCTAATCCCGAATTGCAGACTCTTCAGGTGGCTTCGATAGGAGATAGGAGTGTGTTGGACGAGTATCTCCAGCTCTTTTTCATGAACGAAAACCGGGTGGAAGTGTGTCTGCATTATGGCAGGTTGTGGGGCAGGATGGAAAAGAAAACTATGGACAAGTTATTGTCCTGCCTGTAAGTATGTGGGCTTCCTCCCTGAACACACACATTTACACACTCCGGGAATATCCGTGAAAAGATACCTATTGCCCTAGGCAGCTGTATGGTGGACAACTTTACATATTGTACTTTTGTTTCCAAACTCAGTGGATGAAGTAGATGGTGAACTTGATGTTTAGGGCTTCCCTTTGGTTAAAATAGTTTTTTATTTCCTCTCCAACTGGAATGGCAAAATGAGTTTGACCAAGTTTTCCTCTCTTAGAAAGATCTAAAACCACACATGTTGTTGTTGTTATGTGCCATCAAGTCTCCTGCATTGCATAGAAACCCTATGTACAGCAGCTCTGAAGCTTGCCCTGTCCTGAGCCAGTCTCATTAATTCCAACACACCAACCCCCGTCACCCTAGTTACTGTATCAATCCATCTCACTTGGGGTCTCCCTCTCCTGCACTGTCCCTCCACCCTTCTGAGCATGATGTCCTTCTCCAAGGACCGATCTCTCCTGGCCATCTCCCCAGGTATGTGAGATGGAGCTTCAAAATCCTAGCCTCCAAGGAGAAACTTAGTTTCCCCCTCTCCAAGACAGACCTGTTTGTTTTCTTGGCAGTCCGTAGTATGTTCAAGACTCTTTTCCAGCACCACAACTCGAAGGCATCGATTCTTCTTCTTCTGTCATCCTTAGTCATTGTCCCGCTCTCTGATGCATAGCAAGTAATGTGGAATGTGAGAAGACCACACATAAACATTCATTAATTACGGATTGATTTACAGTCAGTCAAGGCCAAACCAAGATAGAAAAGGAACAGCTCCCTTAAGGGAACTAAATACCAAGGCATGTAGTCGCTAGAGTTTCTTTTCAATTTTTAGAGAGTTCCATTGGCAAATAGGAGGTGGCTTCAACATTTAACCTATTTAGGTGTTAAGGCATGTTGTTCACTCATTCAGGTTGCTTGCTCTGTTCCAAGTTTGTGAGTCAAGTAATTGAAGAGCCACTTGAATCTATAAAGGTGGACTGACCGACCTCCTCAGCTGTGGAGATAGTTCATTCATCTGATTTCATTGCAGTCCAAGATCCGTTGAATGCCTCTTAGTGAATGATGGAGCCAAGGAGTTTTGATTCTAGCTTCCAGCTGCCAGCTGTTTGCTTTTTTTGAACTTGTAACTTCCTTTTTAGGAGTGCTCTGGTGGATAAGGAGTTGCACTGCCAGCCCAGAGGTAGGCGGTTCGAATCTGCCAGTGGCTCCATGGTTCTTTGTAGCCTCTGAAGACCTGGTGCAGGGCCAGCTGTGAGTCGTTTCTGACTCGATGGCAGTGCATATTTTCTTGTTGTTGTTGTTTGTAAGGCTATAGGTTTTACAGATGGTT